ATATACAGTACTGTATATTAGGGGTGCAATGATACAGAAAATTCACGATACGATTCATTACTTTAGTCTCACGGTTCAATTTTTTTAAACAAAAAAGAGAAATGCCCATGCCCCTTTTAACTTGTAATTTATTTAAATTAATTATGAACATTTGTTTAACCTCAAAAGTACAGTTTTTAAATTAAATGTTGCTGAAACAGCAAGTTTCTCAGTGGATCTGTGTTCGACTACTCCACCTAGGATGCATTGTCGAGCACAGATCCACTGAGAAACTTGCTGTTTCAGCAACATTTAATTTAAAAACTGTACTTTTGAGGTTAAACAAATGTTCATAATTAATTTAAATAAATTACAAGTTAAAAGGGGCATGGAAATTTCTCTTTTTTGTATAAAAAAATCGAACCGTGAGACTAAAGTATCGAACCGAATCAAGAATTTTCTGTATCGTTGCACCTCTATTGTCCACCTCAGTTTCAGACTGGACAGTTGTTTTTGTCGATCACGGCTCCTGCCCGTCCTGTAGTGCTAAATGTTGCTACAGGAAGTATGATTTACTTCTTTAAATATATATTTTATTTATTCATTTGATAAAAAACAAACAAAACTCATTTCGTACAATAAAACAATACAAATCAAACAAAATGAAAAGCTGCAGCAGAAGAAGAAGAAGAAAAATCTTATTTCCAAAACTCCATGAAATGAATCCCACATGTACAGGCGTGGGCCAGGTCTGGCACTGTTTTTACTGGGGCGTGCCACAGCTGGCCCAGTCGTGGTTTGGTTTATGTGGTGCTGGGCCACCAAAGGGTCGTCCTTCTTGGTGGTCTCTGGGCCACGTGTTGGCGCAGTGTGTGGGCCAGACAACTGCTGCTATGTGGGCTTGTTTACACGTTGTTTATGGTGATTTCTGAGACTAGCCGTTAGCTTGTCGCCCGAAGTGAAGTCGTTAAATAAGCCACCTATGACTGGTCAGAACTAATCCTTTAAATCAGAAATAACATGTTGCTGCTGCCCTCATCCTGACCCATAATATTTCAGCTCTTTACGTGTCAAAGTGTGAACATGGAGCAGTTTTCAGTCTGAGTGATGCTCCTGTAGCTCCGCACCATGAGCACTGGTTCAGCTGCTTTGTTTTTCAGCTGGGCGGACCAAAATAATCCAGACCTTCCTGGGCCGACATCAGAACGATGCAGAAACAGAAAGTTTAGGGCGTGGTTTGGAACGACGTCTAGAGGTTTCATTTTAAGTTTACGAATCACAAGTTTTCTGTTGGAAAAAGTTAGTTTTCCTGTCGGAGAAACGTTTGTAGCCGTTTTGTTTTCAGAGATTTAACGCCCGCAGTATATTTTTCTGGTCACTGAATGATTTAACACTGTTTGTCAGACATATTTCTGCTGCCAAGTGTAAGTTTCAACTTGAAGAAAAAAAAAAACTCTCTTTTAGCAGATGCATCCACACACCTTTGTATTTGGACTTGCAGGTTCTTTTCAGATACAAAGTTTTTAGATTTCAGAAGTCATTTTTATTCCAATCTCTCGACAACCTTTTGTTTTATTGCAGTTTAAAAAAAAAACTAAATGTATTAAATAAATGACACGATATTTGCTAGGTTTGAAGTAAAGTAATAATGACTTATTGTACAGAAGCCTTTTTTTTCCTCCCTTGAACTGAAAAATAAATAAAATGGTTGTACATTGTGTAGAAAAGCAAACAAAAAGCCATGAATATTGTGAAGCTTGTCATTTTGTTTTGTGATCACTGTGTATTATTGTGTAACAAATGTGCAAAATGTTAGGGATTCCCTCTCTGACCCCACCCGCCCATGTGGTCTCTCTAGATGCATACGCTTGGTTTTAGGATTTTGGACTATTTAAAGTTTGCAGGAAAGTGTTCTTTGGTTCAGATGAAATGTTTGCGGTCTAAAACACGGCGGAACGAAAAGTAAAAAAAAATAAATTGACAAATTATGCTGGTCGATGATAAATTTTGGCTTCTGATCAGGAATTTTTCCTCGTTAAAAAGATAA